GCAGCGAAAGATTTGAACTCGGCGATCTAGCATGGCTCACTCTTGGCGCGATTGGCACGGTGCCCACCGACTATCTAATCACTCGCCGCAGGTTCAATACGTGGCGAGTGATTAGATAGCAGAGAGAGCGTAGTGTTGAAGAGGGCACAGCGATGAGAGTCGCATCAATGCGCAAATCAACGGGCAAGGAAGGGGTCCCATTTCTCGGGTTTCGGGCCGTTTCAATGGTTTTCTTCATCCCTGCTCCACTGACCACCTCTACCCTTATTTCCAATGAGCTAACTTTCAGCAAACTCCGTTAGGAATTTTAGAAAAATTTCTTTGCAAATTCAGGATTTGCCTGAAGAATACTGAAGTGAAGACATGGACGCTGATGAGGATTTGGAGCCTACTGACGATTTCTAGAGCAGAGACTATTGAAAATTTTCTGCACGAAAGAAAAATATGAAACGTTAATATCTCAAAATAATTAAATTGCAGTGCACTGCACTGAGAATCTTCTCACTGATGGTGAGCTAAACTGGGCTTGCCGCGCTATTGATCTCAATAAAATCGTGTAACTTTAAATTTTGTTACCCTTGGAGTAGTTAAATTTTGACCTGCCACGTTGAGTTGTTCTTTTGTACGAGTGAATGCTTTTCAACCTCTTCATTTATTTCTGTAAATTGCTGTTTAATATATAATAAATTACCAATATTTTGAACTGCAGTCGCATTGTCCAACAAAAATGCTTTCCAATTAAAAAAATGGGGACAGTCAGGTTGCAGGGGGCCAGCTGGTTTTAATGTGTCACTTACCAGTATGTAAAAGTACTAGTGTGCTCCCGTCGTTCAGGAAGTTCCACGGGGCCGAAATGATGCTACCATGATTCGGTAGGACACTGACAGCTCACAAGGAACACTCTCCAGTCGCCTGCGAGTAAGTGGTCTCGGCACTATTTCACGATTTCGAATCGCATATGCACTGTTCGAACTGAAAAGTCCGACACTGGCCGTGTCCTTAGCTGAACGGCGGTTACTGCTTCACTTTTGCCATCAGTAAATCGAGGATCTTGCAAGTTTGTACAGCGTGGTAATGAGTCTTAAAGGTACCGGTCGGGACTAGAACTTTTTTGGAGTTGACTCTCATTATTCTGCCGGCCGAATGAGCAGCAGTAGCTTATCACCAGCCGCAGTCAGCCATCGTTTGCAGAATATGACATATGATCCAGGGTCTACTCCAGTTAGGGGGGGGGGAAGCATCATGATGCAGTTTTTCCAGAAAGATAGGGTAACTTCGAGCCGGAGGGATGTAGCCAGTCGTCTACGGGGATGGGGGGGATGAGGGCAGTCACTTGACATGCGTGAAAAGCTGGAATGTTCGAGTTCACACTAGTTCGCCGAGAAACTGCATCATGATGCAGGATCCCCTGAGAAAACTGATCATTGATGCCCGCCTAACTGTAATGGACCCTATGACCCATTTCTAATGAGCATCACCAGCCCGTGAGTTACAGTATGTGGGTCCGTAGTGCTAGATCCACCAACTGAACTTGATTAATTATTACATGAATAGCACCGGATAACCAGCCTACTTAGTAAAAGGCTGGGCTATGCGTCGCGCACTCTCCCTTGCCTCCCGAGCGCCACATTCCCCAGGAAAGGATTTTACTAGTAACCCGGTGCGACACGCATGTCTACGCTTTCGTCAATCTATAAATGGACGAAAGCAGTGTTAGCACAGCAAAATGGGAAAACACGATCAATCGCCGTCATGCTGAGCGACTGAGCTTTAAATAGACGTCTTTTCTTATGTCTCGGGCGCGATGCAGATTACGCATCTTATCGTAGTAATATATCGTGAGATATATTTTGACTGGCTCGTGTTGTGTACTATGTTTCGTTTGATTTTCTGTCGGGTGTTCTCTTCACTTTGATATGGTTTCTTTGTAATTCCTCTCACTGTTTTGCTCTCGAGTTAGGCTTGCTTTTTAATGTGCCAAATTAAAGCTGGAAGATTTGTGTTCCTTGCTTTTTCAGGCACTCCTGCTCCATTAGCACTAGGGTTTATTATTTACTTACATCATGATGCAGTTTCTCGGCGAGCTAATGTAAACTCGAACATTCCAGCTTCTCACGCATGTCAAGTGACTGCCCTCACCCCCCACCCCCCTAGGCTGGCTACACTCCCCCTGGCTCAGAGTTACCGTAGCTTTTGGGAGTCACCGCACCATGATGCCCCCTAACTGGAATAGACCCAATTATTTTTGAGGTAAAGCCTACAAAGTAAGTTGGAAATAAGGTAGATGACCCGCGAAAGAATAGGTAACCTGGAAAACGCTCTCGCAGTCGCTCTGTTTTGTTTAATCAACTTCCCAGAATGGACACAACAAGCAAAAACCTTCATTTTTTTTTCTAATTACAGGTCTTCTCCATTGTTTTAAGGCGTGTGTGGCAAAGCCTCATGAATAATGGAGAAACTTGCGATCAAGTAAAATATTGGCTTTTACGTGCAGATTAATGTGGTAGACCATTTTCATCTTCAGGTCTTCTGTTCCTTTTCTGGAATATTTTCGTCTCTTCAGAAGGTGAGAATAGGCGGTCATGCCTATATATGATCAATGGTGGTTTCGTGCATTTGTCGCAGTTGTTATGTTTTTCGGGTGTCAGTTATGCTTTATGGTCTCTAGACTACAGAATTTGGACGAGGAAAAGGTCAATCTTCAGGCTGAGGTGTGTTTGTTGCCGAGCTTTCCACCATGTTAACGGCGCTGCCATCTTCTTTCGTTAAGGTCCAAACACTGGAACGAAAACGTGATGCATTACTAATGGACATAGCTACTAAGGAGCGTGAAATATTACGACTGGATAAGAAAGAACAACAGTTGGAGGTTTTGTGAGTATTGCTTCGTAAACGTTTCTATGAGCCTTCTTGCTGTAGTTTTTCCTGTTTCTGTAGATTAAAAGCATTTTTATGACGTAAGCACTTATCCGTAAAACCGATCAAGGACGCCTCTGCAGGCGTGTTGCGAAGCCTTGCTTGTAAAATCACTGAGGCGAGATCATCTATCAAATCAAAAGTAATGCATCTGCTGGTTATACTGTCTATCAGAAGCAAATGAACTGCTCTCGGTTCTAGCTCCCTTTTAAACACCAAGCCAAACATATTTGATATCTTGAAGCATTTCGTGATCACGGTGTCGAAATCAATTACTGTTTTCAGTCATAAAAAGAAACTGTTAAAGATAACTCTTGCTGAATTTAAAGTCTTTCAGGGTTCGCGACCGGCTGAGTCTTGTGCCGACTCGACGAAAGAGCGATCCAGTGATCTACTTTATTACTCCCACAAGCTTCCGTCCTGCGCAGAGAGCTGATCTAACTCGGCTCTCCTACGCCCTTTCACACATTCCAAACCTGTACTGGATTGTGGTCGAGGATTCCGATACAACTTCAGAGAGCGTGGCAGAAATACTCAAAAGGTGGGAACTTATGTCATTCTTTATCGGAAATCGGAAAAAGTGTATAGAGGTCGACGAGGAAGAAAAGATTAGGATTCATTTGTAGGTTTGGTGTGCGTCAGAATGAGCCGAGATCGCCCTGAAATTTGGTTTGGAATGAGTTCTTTCAGATCTCGTCTTCCTTATACCCATATCAATGTGAAGACTCCTGAAGACAAGAAGATGAAGTACTCGGATCCAAGCTGGTATTTGCCACGTGGTGTTGCTCAGCGAAATGCTGCTTTAGCGTGGATCAGGTAAAGTTATAACTTTTTTTTCGAAATATTGGCCAATTTTTTTTCGAAATGTCTTGTTTACGTATCTGTTTCATCTGGAGGACATCAGTCTACTTCTCATATCAGTAATCTTGTTTTTTTTAAGAACGCAGCTGTCGGATGTCAAAAATGGTGCTGTTTATTTTGGCGATGACGACAACACATATGACTTACGATTGTTTGATGAGATAAGATCGATAAATGTGGCAGGAATCTGGCCTGTAGGCATAGTAGGCGGTCTCGTTGTGGAAAGACCTCTGTTGGCCGAAAATGGTTGGTGGAGTTTCTTCTGTTTATTTGACTGCATGAGTTACGTTGTTGTCATTTTTTTAGGAACAATTGTTGGTTTTAACGCAATTTGGAAGCCGGATCGCCAATTTCCTATTGATATGGCAGCGTTTGCCGTAAACATTACTATGGTAACATCTCACCCTGATGCTGGTTTTTCTTATGATGTAGCAAGAGGATATCAAGTAAGTTAATTATGTGATATCAAGAATTAAGTCTTTTTGAAAAGGAATATTATTTCAAGCTCGAGCTGAGCAAGCAATGTTCCTTTCCTAGTTTACCATTTCTCCTTACTTTGAAGGCATATTCCACCATCAGTGTTAGTAGTTTTCTTGTTCATATTATTAGTAGTATCATGGTCTAATTCTCTTCCACTGGGGTGATAATTCCCGCTAATTTCTGCGGTACCTTCGCCCTCGTCTGAGATGCTCTCTCATCTCTGAGGCTGTTCTAGCCTCCGCGCCTATTGTCTCTCAGTTTGTCTCTCCCACAAGCTTGGTCATTGCCCACAAAGGATCTCTTCATGTTGTCGTTTTTTGCTCCTTCTTCTTTGGTAAGTCTATTAGCACAAACAACTTCGTATTGAGCACCACAACTTCCTTAGCGGTCTGAAGCCGCAATTCATCGGTTGTATTATATGTAGTTCAGTGCTTATTTCTACGAAGTTACTGCCCTCCTCGTTTTCCCTCACTATTTTTTTAGGAGTCGCATTTTCTCACAGGGTTGGGATTGTCTCGAAGCGATCTCGAACCCAAGGCGGCACTATGCTCCAAAGTCTATGTGTGGCACACTAGGACCGAAAAAGGCAAATTCTCAAAAGAGGATTGGAAAAGAATATCTTCAAAGGATAGGGAACTGTTCGATGACATCGAAGCTCACGCTCTTGGACTTTAACTTGAACACAGTCAAGAGAACACGATTCAGTTGGTTGGCGCTTGCTCTGCAGGACGTTCAGCTTCGATTTGAGAAGGAACGATTACATCATTAGAATCATGCTTAGAACAGGACGAACTTCAAATATGACTGGAAATTTTTGAACGGATCATTGTGTAATAGGAATTGCACAGTTGAATATTGCCAGCTGTGATACGGGCACGCTTGACGAGCTTCACGCACGGTTTCTCTTATAGGGAACCAATTCCTTCCAGTAAATTACGGTCATGCTGTTTGACATCTTTGCTATCCTGTACATCATCTCAATTTTTGAGCAACTCTGTAAGTTCACCCTCACGTTTTTATGCAGATCGCCTCACTAGTCGTTGGTGCTGTGAAGGATTTTTTGGAGCTTTAGAGCACTTTTCATTTGGACTTTCATATGTGTGAAAGACTTGAGTGCTGAAAAAAATGCCGACTTTTATTTTAATTGCCATTTGGAATGTACTGTGTTCTTGTGTTTTTAAACGGAAAGAAGGGTGCTATATGTCACTGTATGCTGGAACGCGTTTTGCCTTGAAGCCCAGATTTGTTCTAGTTGTTGATTTCGTAGTTGTTTGTGGATATTGATACAACGGTGCTGCATGCTGCATTCATTCTTTGTTGGTCTCATCTTGCCACTTATTGATATTGATAGATTCTTATTGTAAAATATTGTTCGAAAATTGATTTATCGAATCGCTTTGCTCAAAGTTGATAAGTGCAATGCTGATAATACTAATAAATATTTGTTATAAGTTGGTTGCTTGTTAGCTTTGATGGGTAAAATCCCATGAACTACCGAAGAGTTGTGGAGTGTTGAATTTTGATTTTACCGTTGGAGTGCTAGCGTTTGGGAAGACCTGTCTATGGTGCAGTGACAGTGAGTTGTGCTTTGGACCAAAAAGAGCATACGTCCAACTGTGTCACGCCATTGCATGTCTTGCTAACGACTGGTCTTCACTAATAAAAAAGCCAGGAATCCAAGTATTACCGTTGACTTTAATTTCCGTTGTAATTTCTTCCCTTTTGCAGGATCAAAAATGGGGGAGCGCAAAGGTCAGAATTTTTATTATCCTCCGGATTTCGATTACAAGAAGCATAAAAATTTGAACAAATACCATGGTACTCATGCTTTACGAGAACGAGCGAAAAAGATTTCGCAAGGAATTCTCATCATCAGGTCGGTTATCTCTAAAG